TATAGATCTTGATATATATATTGGTAGCAACCCCAGCAATCAGACCGACATGAAGAAAGCTAAAGGGTATGGCCTCAAGTACTTCATGGGTAACTTCCTAAGATTGGTAAAAGTCAAGGGGCAGGTAGATCCAGATAATTTCTTCATGCTTGAACAAAGCATTCCACCACGTTGGATATAGAAAAAGTCCTAAGGAAACAGGAGGATGTCAAGTAGTATATATTGCACTTAAAGATTAAGTTAATAATGTGCACTTGGGATATAGAAAAAGTCCTAAGAAAACAGGAGGATGTCAAGTAGTATGTATTTGTTCCAATAATAAAACTTTATGGAACTGATTTCTTGCCATGCAAACATGGACATCAATTTCAATATAAAAGTTTAAGCTATTGAATCGTGAGTCTGTATTATATATAAACACTTTAATTTTTTTTTTTTCAATATAGGATATTTACTACTTAATCTTTTATTTTATTTTTTTCCAATAATAAAACTGTATGGAACTGATTTCTTGCCAACACAGAATTTTGTTTTGTCTTTCAATGTTGTGTCTTTGCAAACTTACATTATACATAAAGATGAACATCAATGCTTTTTTTTTATCTAACTTGGTGTAGATATAAAAGCCTTCCATGTAATTTACATTCCAGAATAATGGAATCCAAACTTAACTCTAATTAATTGAAGAAGTGAATAGAAGATATTTTATTGATCCAGGTCAAATAGAGTTTTATTGCTAAGATGTACATTCAAACCATTGAAAAATTATTCTTGAACTAAAATTTTTTTTTTTTTTTAAATAACTCATCTCAAACTAGCTGAAATATTTTGTTCATTCTTGACAAAGTTATCAGGATCGACCTTTGACTTCACTTTCAATAGTCTTGGAAAACTGTCCTTTAATACTTGTTGAAATAAACTTTAGCTTTCTCAAAGTTGGTCTGATTGCTAGGATCGCTACCAATATCAGTATCTCTATAGTTGAGAAATGCCTCCTTGGATTCCTGCTCACATATGGTGCCATTGCATCGTACAATTGTCTTAAGAAGCTTCCAGGCCACATACTTGTTAAACGTTCATCATCTGCAGAAGACAACTTTGAAAGAGCGGTTCAGTCAGTTGCTTGATGTTTTGTTGGTTTTGGTTTTAGTTAACAAGGTTAATGCTACTGCTTCACTTTTGTCACAATTGTTTTTCGGATTCCACAGCCTTCTATAAGCTAAGAAATATACAACTGAACTGGAAAGTATGTTTTTGATGCAGCGCTCAAATCTAAGTAGTGGTATTTTTTTCTGCTGCATGCAATTGAAATTTCAAAATGCTCCTTTTTCTTCCATGCCAGAAGTGATAGTGTGTCATAAAATCCCTCTTCTTTTTTCTTTGAGAAACTGCAATTTCACTGCCTAACCTTGCCTAACCTTGTGGTTTGACGAAGTGCGTTACCAATTTGTTAGTCATTTCATTTACTATGGATTATTTTTTCTGCTGCACGCAATTGAAATTTCAAAATGCTCCTTCTTGACCACGCCAGATGTGATCATGTAATGTCATAACATCCCTCTTCTTTTTTCTTCGAGAAAACTGTAATTTTACTGCCTAACCTTGTTTGATGAATCACATTCACAATGTTCTAGTCATTTCACACTACACCAAAAATAGGTCTGTAGAGATTGTCGCTATGCGACGTCGGACGCAACACCCTAAAGAAATTAAAATATGTGCGTTAATTATTTACAAAATTATTTACAGAGTTTTGGAGTCGCCACCTAGTATTTTAAAGAACTAGAAACCTAAAAGTAACACTCGGTTCGAGATATTCCTAAGGTAAGGAATGTTCTAGTCATTTCACACTACACCAAAAATAGGTCTGTAGAGGTCGTCGCTATGCGACGTCGAACGCGACACCCTAAAGAAATTAAAATATGTGCGTTAATTATTTACAAAATTATTTACAGAGTTTTGGAGTTGCCACCTAGTATTTTAAGGAACTAGGAACCTAAAAGTAACACTCGGTTCGGATATTCCTAAGGTAAAGAGTTGGTTACACTTTTAAGAAGATATTTAATCACCTAAAAGTGCCCTTTTGGAAAAAAGGTATCATGAATGGTCTAGTTCTAAATTCATCCCCTAAAAATCCATGTCAAGCTATTTTCTAATTTTTAAACTCCTATTTTTTTTAGACTAAGTGAATTTTTTAGTTTTGAGTGTGGCATCATATTGAAACGATCGTCGGTCCCCTTCGTTGGATGAGATGTCGATTCAAATATCGGATCCACTAAAAGCCTTGACACAACCGGCATGTCGAAGGACGTCTTAATTAAAAGGTGATTTTTTGTGACGTCGGCTCCTATCAAATAGGAAATTTCATCGAAAATTTTAAATTTGGTGACGTCGATCCCTATTAGATAGGAGACTTCATCAATTTATTTATTTATTATTATGTTATTTTTTGGTCGCGTCGGTCCCTACCAAGTAGGAGGCTTCGCCAAAATGTTTAGGTATTTTTTTTATGACGTTAGTCCCTATCGGATAGGAGACTTCATCAAGATTTTTTTTTATTTTTCTAGCCATACATATTAAAGAAAATAAAATAAAATAATTGAAATAACAATTCTAAATTAATATATAAAAAATGACAAGGAATAAAAATAAACGAGGCTAAAAAAATTAAATGAATAATAAAAGATAAAAAAAATTAAAATTAAAAAAAAAATCATCATATACCTAAACCATTAACCCACAACTTTTACTCTCTTTTTTTTTTTACCCATCCCTTTTTTTTTCTTTTTCCTTCTTTTTATTTTCTTCCTTTTACTTATTTTCCTTTTTTTTTTTTTTTTGTGAGGGACACGGGTCAGGCTGAATTCCAGCCCAACCTCCTTTTTTATTTGGTGTAAAGGGCACGAGCTAGGCCGAAATCAGTCCAGCCCATGCTTTTTTTTTTTGGAAAAGGGCGATGGGCTGGGCCGAAAGAAAGTCCAGCCCCTTTCGTTTCTCTTTTTTTTTCGCGGGTCGGGCCGGACCTCAAGCCCGAAAACAAGTCCACTTGTTTTTGTTTTTTATTTTTCGGATCAAAAAACCGAAATTACAAGTTCTTAACTCTTTCTCTCTCCTGTTCTTCTTGTTCTTCACTTTCTCTCCCTAGTTCTTCAAATTTATTTCATAATTTAAGGACCCTCTTCAAAAAGAAAAACTTGATTATATAAACCACCATTTAGAATATGAATGAGATGACAAAACCAACAATTGAAACTAAAACAACAACGAAATTAGAAACTAGAGATTCAAACCCAAAAGCCGACTCGGAAACGGGAAGAATATCAAGAACAAGCTTAGAAAGACTCGGCGAAAACCCAAAAACGTAGCACCCGAATGCTAGTTTCTCATGACTTCCTTGAAATCCTACTCTCGATTTTCTTTCCTCCACCTTATTGAACCAAAATCCTTCTCAAATCGAAGTTAAGGATGCTTCAACCGGCTTGGGGTTGAAGAGCACCAACCCGAATTATGAACACCTTCAACCAAAAAACCTAGAAAACTTAACTCGCTAAAAATCGAATATCAACCTTTTGTTTCTTTTTTTTGCTTGGATTTTTCTCTCTCTCAACACGAAATTCCTCTCCCAATTTTTCTCCTTTTTTTGTGAAATTCAAAACATTTTATAGCACAAAATTTTCTAAAATTTCTCTTAGAATCGAATCTCAAATCTCAAATTTTTTTTCTATCAAAATATTTCCTCTTTAATTCATGATTAATGTGAAATCAAAACAGAAAATTTGGTCATTTCTTCTTGTTAGTACTGATTTTGACAACGAAAACATGATTAATGCACAATCAAAACAAGAAATTTGTGGAGGATTTGGCCAAATTCTTCCAAAGATTTTCGGAGAGAATTTTTCTTGAAGTGGACGACGAGTTGTCTTCTCCATTTCGATCCTTTCGTTTGCTCCAAATTTCCAGTTTGGTCTTCATGTATTTCAAGTCTAGCGATCACGCCCTTCGATGGTATAATTTCAGCACAATCTCATCAATTAGGTCCACAGGAGGTGCAATTTAAAGCCTAATTTTTTAATTGACTCGATTACACCCCTAATTACTTCAATTGTGTCCCTAAATGAAATTCTTTTTTGTGTTTTTTCATCATTTTCTTTCCTTTTTTTTCCTTTTCTTTTTTTTTTTTTTAGTAAACTTCAAATCAAATAAAAAAAGTAAAAAGTAAAAATAAAAAATAAAAAAATAATAATGGTGGATAAAATAAATAAAATAAAAAACAAAAAATAAAAATAAAAAAACAAAAATAAGGGAAATTTTGGGTTATTACAAAGGCAAATGTATTGGGATGGTCAAGAAAACCGCCTCAAAATTAATAGTTTCTTTTTATACATAAATAAACATTAGGCGGTTCATAAAACTCCTCCACTTCTTTTACTTTTGATAGTAGATGCCTTTTTTTTTCCTCAAAAGCCAAAAGAACTCTTCACTAACTTGCACCCCTCTAACTTCTAAGTTTCATATCTAGGTTTTTTCTTCTTCTATTTTTCAATTCGATTATTTTAGGTGAAAATCACATCCCAATTGTGATTATTTAGGTTTCTTCTACAATCTTTTTTCTTTAATCCGTTTCATTAGGTTTCTTCCTCTTCTCTTTTTCTTCTTCACCTCGAGTTCTCTATTCGATTATACTAATCGGATACGTTGCTGAGAAACACATCCTATTCTAATCTCACCTCTACCCATTACCCATTAACTTCTATATCGTGACTCATGAGAAAAAATAAACGAAGCCCACAAAAACCACTCGCTCTACAACAATGGCTTTTTCAATATGCTCTACGAGAGATCGTCCTCTTTCTCTTCCTCATTTCAATGGTTCCTACCGTCTTTATTATCTCTATGGAGCTAGCCAATCCTCCAACCCACGTGTACCACTACCACATATCCGAATTCTTTAATGCTACGCCAAGTGGGATGATCTCGACCATCGATTCCTGGTCTCCTTCATGGGCGATGGCATCGGCGAGATTGCTGTCGAAGATTACTCATCATCATTGGAAGGGACTATTTTGAAGGAAGTTATAGTGGTTAAAGATGCCGACTTGACCCAAAAAATTTCTCTTGGCATCATCGTTGATCCGATAAGGAATCGGCTTCTACCACACAAACACTTGAATGATCTCATTGCCGGTGGAAATTTTGATCCTTTGATTTTGTAAGATCAACATGAATGTGATGTGTCGATGTTGGCTAAAATGAAACAATTAAAGATCCGACCAAAGAGGTAGACATATCGACAACGATTTTCATTGTTTGGTAATGTGAATATGGTGTCCAAGAGTGCGGAATCACCCAATTGATGTATTAGCTAAAATGAATGATCTCCAAGAGTGCACGAGTAAGTGTGATCATAAGCCCGAAACGAGCTTAAAGAACTAACAATGCGAGGTCCTATGATCATACAATGAAGTTTTTCGAAATTCAATTTCTCTCTTTACTAAAGAGAGTCCAATATATATTCGAAAAGAAGAAGATAAGGATTCATCAAATCATCAAATGTTGTTAGTTAGTGAAGGAGATTTGACTTTCTCTTGGTGCCTAGCTTACTCTGTAGGCTCGCCTATGGTAATCTCTCTATAAGCCATTCTATGCTCTCTCTTTCTCTCTCTCTTTCTCTCTGTTAGCACCCAATTTTTTTCAAAAAAATTAAAAAATACAAAAAAGAAAAAAAGAAAAGGATTGAAAAAATATAATCGAGGGATGCAATTGAAAAAAGAAAGAAAAAAGTGATCAAAATAAAGCAAGTTTGTGAGATGATAGACCAAACCAAACTTAGCCCGAAAAAAACCCTACATATAAAAAGCCCCCATGCCTTTTTTTGGGAGGACTCGTTCACCCTTCCAAAAAAAAAGCCCTAGCCATCGGCTCCTCTCCCACATAGCGACCTTTCATAGTAGCCTCTTGCTCATTACCTCCCTATCTCCCGCAGCGGCTCTCCTCCCCTACAACCTCTCGCCACGCCTCTCACCCCGCTCCCCATGCCACCACGCCTATTGCAGCGACCGCAACACACACCCGAGTCCCGAGGCCACCACCACCAGCCACTCGCTCCCGACGATGCACCACCCCAATACGCGAGTAACAACAACGACCTCAGCACGTAGCGAGTAGCAACGACAACCCTCGACGCGCAGTAGCCTCCGACACACCGGAGTAGGCTGCGGCCGGTCGGCGTCAACATCAACCGGCGCCTGCGAACCAACACTTAATGCCAATGCCCGGTGTCAACGCCTACCAACCAAGCACTAGCGCCGGCACTTTCCAACCAACACCAACACCAAGCACCCGCACTAGCGCCTCGGCCTCGCCCAACGGCGCCAACGCCGGTAACTCGTCGGCAACCACCGCTTTCACCCAACCTTTCCTTCCCGATTGACCGAGTATTGGTCTCCATCATGGTTGAAAAGGGTCGGATCCGACTTCGAGATTGCCAAGAGAATTTATCCAGCTCGTTTTCTTTATCGTAATTTTTTTTACTTTTTTTATTTTATTTTATTTTTATTTTAACATGTATTAAATTTGATTCATGTTAATATGTGTTATTTAATTAATTAAATGGTTGTGTTATGTAATTAATTTCATCTATTTTTGTGTTTTCTCCAACTTTGGTCTAATTGTCAATTTTCGTCAAGTTTTTCCCACATGTGCTTAAGTTTGCTAATTTTTTCCTATATTTGCCTCAATTGTCGATTTTTTCCTAAACTCGCTAATTTTAGCCTATTTTTGCCTTAATTGTCTATTTTTGCCTATGATTACCTAAGTTGTCAATTTTTACTAGTTTTTGCCTAAATCGTCAACTTTTGCCCATGATTGCTTGAATTGTCGATTTTTATTTATTTTTACCTATAATTGTATGAATTGTCAATTTTTACTTATTTTTTATCTTAATTACCAATTTTTTCCCATGAACGCCTAAATTATTTATTTTTAATTATTTTTGTCTTAATTGCTTATTTGTGCCTATGATTGTCCGAATTGTCAATTTTTAATTATTTTTATCTTAATTATCAATTTGTGCCTATGATTGCCTAAATTGTCAATTTTTGCCTATTTATCGATTTTGTCAATCTTTGCCTATTTGTCAATTTTACTTATTTGTCAATTTTTGCCTAATTGCCTATCTCGTCAATTTTCGTCGACTTTACCTATTTCCGTATTTGCTATTTATCGATTTTTCCATTGTTTGCCTATTTGTCTATTTTTACCAATTTTGCTAATTTCGTCTATTTGCCTATTTGTCGATTTCGTCAATCTTGTCTAGTTTGTCTTTTTGCCTATTATTTTTAAGTTTTATTTTCATGTACGTTGTCTAAGTTGCATTAGTATCACATCCTTATATTCATCATTTTTTAGCCATCCATTACAAAGTGAGGATAAGGTTTTTGATCGACCAAGTCTCAAATCACTCAACTAGTGAGCAAATGCTTGAAAAATAGGTATAGTCTTTCATCATTATTCACTCAACTAGTGAGCAAATGCTTGAAAAATAGGTATAGTCTTTCATCATTAAAAATAAAAAATCAAGTCAATTTTGTATGCAATACTGACTTGCCTTAAACGAGGAAGGAGTAGGGTGATCTTTAATCTTCCATACACATAATAAACCCTTATCCGGAACTACGAACCGACCAATTATAGGGTTTCTTAGTAACCATAATCCTAGGTGACGACTCTAATTATTTTTGTCCATTTTCTCTATTTTCACCTTAACTCATTGCCACTTGCCACCGACGTCGTCCAACAACACTCTATATATATATATGGTACGTGTATGGAATGAAGAATGACATTTCTTTATACGGTTGACCTTTACTTTTCTTAATTATTTTTCCCCCGATTATCAAATAGAAAGGCTTTATGGTTAGTCAAATGAAATGAATTTTTCGTTATCGTAATTGATAATGAGTATTTGAAAATGCTTTTCCGGAAAAAAATCTTAACAATAGAGCCTTTGTTTCTTTACGGTTTCATGTTACCATGTGCTTGCTCTTAAGATTACAATACTTCAAATTTATAGTACATTTTAATTTGAGGCATTCGGGAATGATTGATTTCCCTTTTATAAGTCGACCTTGGTTTGGGAAGTGAACTAAAATTACATTCGATGATAGACTATTTCTACATTAATTTCTATGCAAGTCTTGCTTGCTATCGCTTGAGGGATTACAACGAGCTAGGGATTCCATTTACTAACTAGGTGGTTCAAATAGTGATAGTTTCTAAAAATGCTTTCGAGGGAAAGAGGAAAAGATCCCCTATTAGCATAAAATGCGGGAACTAGGGGTATTGTTCTTTGTATTTTTTCATCTTTTAGAAAATAAGGCACCATTATATTATCCATGCCCCATATTGACGTGACTTTTTTTCTTCATTCATTTTTTTTTCGGGCTTATAGTGTAAAACTTTCGGACTTTCAGTTGCTAAGGAAGAGGAGAAAAAGGAAGAGCCCGTTAAAGCCTTGGGTTTCAACCTTTTAGTGCTTGGATACTGTTCTTAAAGCTTCTTTCTCAAATGGCGAGTTGCTTTTAAGCAATCTGGATGATAGCTCAAGTAAAATTTTATGACAATTGTAGAATGAGGAAACTTATGAGTATTTTTTTTATTAAACTATTGAGTACCTTGGCTATGAATTTTCCGAAAAAGATGAAATATAAAATGTTGTTTTCATTCACTATTTAATCGAATGTTTTACCAAATAGTTTGAGCTCTCTCTACATATACAATTATGGCTTTGATTCCGGAACATAGGATGCTACTAGACTCCATGGATTACTCTTATGATCAACCACGAAACAGTAGACATTAATGCTGATCTTTTAGATTGTGCAACCTCTTTGATACAAGGAAGGACGAGTAGCAAGATGAAAGCCGACCTTCTCAAACATATTTCTAAGATATTACGGAGCATCAATCTTGCTGATGGAGGGTTAATAGGATTGTGCAACCTCTTTGATATAAGGTTTGGAATTTGTTGATTTATTGATTGGACTATGGTCCATATTAAGATTTAAATTCTGGTTATGCATTAGATATGTTGTAAAATTTGTTAATGTTCCTATTTGATGCGGGATCCTAGCAAGTTTGTTGTTCTTCGTTGCTCTTGTTCTGCTGTCTTGCTTCTAGTGGTTCCCTAGTTGCTACCAAGGAAGAGCCCATTGAAAAGTCTAATGAAGACTTGGGTTTCGACCTCTTTAAGTTTTGTGTTAGTATTTATCTAGGATTTTACCATAATATGGTGAATATATATTAGCTTCATATTAGTTCATTTCCTATTGCACTGTGTTATGCTACGGATGGATTATTGTGTTTTAGTTTCTTAGTAGTTTATTACCCATGTTATACTACACAATGAATAAAAGACGCTAACTCGTTATTTAAAAAAAATTACTTGCATTCAATAGTTTAATTTTTTTGTTTTTTGACCAAAAAATAAAGTAATTAATTGAATTTGAAGGTCAAATAAAACTATAATGTTAAAGGTAGTTAAACAACCACCTCTATTATGAAATTTGAGGTGGTAGTAATTGCCTCTATAAAGTCTAAATTTGAGACGGTTAAAACCGCCTCTATAAATTCTACAATTTGGGATAGTTTAAACCACCTCTATAATTTTAAACTTTGGGACGGTTATAACCGCTCTAACAATTTAGTGCAAAATTGAAAAATGGTGAAATTGTAGATGCGAGTTTCCAACCACCCCAAAGTACATGCCAAACAATACTAAAAGAGGAACCGCCTCAAAAAAATACTTTGAGAACAAACCACCTCAAAATTTCCCTATGGTTAGCAAAATCGTCACTACACCCTATAGATGGCGACAATGAAGACGATTTTGAGGCGAGTCCTTAAAACCGCTTCTAGAGAACAAAAAAACCGCTTGCGATGCCCTTTTTTGGTGTAGTGTCATTTACTAAGGATTAGTTTTGTCTGCTGCATGCAATTGAAATTTGAAAATGCTATTCTTTTTTTTAAACTAGGTCGGATGTAATCATGTAATTAATGTGTCATAACATCCCTCTTCTTTTTTCTTTGAGAAAACTGCAATTCTAATGTTAAACTTTTGAATTTTATTTTGTTTGATTATCTTTGATTTTTATTTTGTTTGAGTATTTAATTTCTTATTTTGCCTATTTGAATGACCGACCTTCGATTATTTATTTATTTTTCTATTTGGGTTTATTTTGTTGCTTGAGACTCGTAAAATAATGATATGGTTGATATCAATGGACGTGTACTTTCTTTGTATTGACACTTGATAAAAAGTGAGTTTTATTAGAAATTAGAGAAAATTACAATTTTCGGTGTCTTTTTTTTTTTGTGTAAAATTTTATTTGATCTATTTGAGTATTTTTTTTTCTATTTGAGTGTATTTTATCACTTGAGACTATAAAATGCTAGATTAGTCGTATCAACATGTGGCTATTTTGTACCAACATGTAGTAAAAAATATAGCTCAAAATTATTGAGAAAAAAAAAACAAATATATATATGAAGAAAAAAGGTGGTGGAAAAAAAAGGGGAATAGTGATTCTTTTTTTTTAAATGATTTTAATATTCATGTTTTGAAGATAGTTTTAATCACCTAGCAATTATTTTTTGAAAAATGCTAATATTGCATTAGCATTTGAAAACTTATTCAAATGCTAATGCAATATTAGCATTTGAATAAGTTTTCAAAAGTTTTTTTGTTTTGAAGATATTTTTTCATCTCATTAGTAATTATTATTATTATTATTATTATTCTTTTTTGAAAATGATGTTAACATTGCATTAGCTCAGCATCTCTTAATGGTTCTCAAAAGTTCTTTGTTTTGAAAATATTTTTGAGTGACAAGCAATTTAAAAAATGATCTGTTTCTCCTTACACGGTTTCTTGGGATTGTTAAACTTTTCTTGGTTAACATAAATTCCACTAACTTTTTGATCTGTTATTATGTACTTGATTTGAAATTATATGTGAAGGCATGCTTAGTAAGCACAAAATCAAGTTCTCAATAATTTCGAGTGGATCTAATTTTTTACTGTATGTCAATACAAAAAAATGACGCATCGGTTGATATCGATTACATTAATATTTAATCGTCTCAAGTGATGGAATACATTTAAATAAAAAAAAATTGGATGTTAATCTTTAAATAGGTAAAAATAAAAAGTTAGGCATTGAAGTTGTAGTTTATTTATTTATTTTTTTTCTTTTGAGTGGGAATTAGTTTTTAACACATGTTAATACATAACGGTTATGTATTAATTGATATCAGTCACATTGCATTTTAATAATCTGAGCAGATTTAATACACTCAAATGGAAAAATTGGTCACTTAAATAAGTAAAATGAAAAATAAAACATTCAAACGGAATAAAAATGAAAGTTGGGCTAGAAATAATAGTCTTTTTTTACTCTTTGTTTTTTTTTAAAAAAAAAAAAAAGAAAGAAAGAAAATTGGGTCATTGTGATAACATAATAACATACCTGTGGAAAACCGACAACACTGTTTCAACCAAAATGGTTATATTGTAAATTGCAACAGTTAGTCAAAATCAAACCGTTTGACTGCGGCAAGAAGTTTCTTATGGATCCATCTAGCAGCCTAAAAGTGACTTTGAACATACCGTGTGTTTTATCAATGTATATCAGAAAAAAAACCCAAGCCATCACAGTTTCGTTTTTCTCTTTTTCTTTATTAATGTCAATGATAATGCATGAGAAAAGGTGGAATTTGAACTTATTATGATTTAATAATCCAAATCTTTTCAGAATTTTAAATCAGTTACTAATCATTTTTTTAACTTTTAATTTTGAATACGATATCTGTCTTACTAGTTTTTATTTAAAATTGAGTCTTTTAATTAGGTTTTCATTCATTCTAACAGTATAAATATATATGATTTATAAGTAATTGATTTTTTTTATCATTTCTATTATCTAAAAATATACCGAAATCTATAGATGATTATAACTGTTGGAATACTATACTTGTACTTTAAAATTGATAAGAACCTAACAAAAATACTCATTTCGAATGAAAAATAGATATAGATAGATCTAACTTAAAATTAAAAATTGAAAAAACTAATTATAAAATGATTTAAAATTTAAGAAAATCTTGTACCGTTTGACCAACTGTTATTTAGCCCTCTTGTTCTTAAAATTAAAAAGATATAGTGGACTTTGATCCAAGGTGTGCACAATTGAAAATATTGATTGTGGAAAAATCATGCCACGTTATTGCCAAATTATTCGTTCAACTGTTGGCAAATCTAATATTAATCCCCTGCAAATATGTTGAGCTTCTCATTTGAATCCCCAACTATAGATTTTATCCATTTGGCTCCCCATGAGTATATCTTTTTCTCAATCAAATCTTCTATAAACATGCACATGCTTTCTAATTGAACCTAATTTCTCCAAATCTTAAGTGCTAAAATCCATCCATCCATTCAAAACTATACTGGTACTTTAAAATTGCTTTTTTTTTAAAAAAAAAACCCATTTCAAATGAAAAATATTGACAAATTAATAGATCTAACTCAAAATTAAAAATTGAAAAACTAATTCTAAAATGATTTAAATTTTAAGAAAATTTTGTGCCGGTTTGACCAACTGTTATTCAGCCTTATTGTTCTTAAAATTGAAAAGATATATTGGACTTTTATCCAAGGTGTGCACAATTGAAAATATTGATTGCGGAAAAATCATGCCACGGTTAATGCTGGTCTTTCTTTTAGACAATTCATCCTATTCAGAAATTACTCATTCAACTGTAGGCAAACCTAATATTAATTAGTCCCTACAAATATGTTGAGCTTCTCATTTTAATCCCCAACTATAGATTTTATCCATTTGGCTCCCCATTGATATATCTTTTCTCAATTAGATCTTCTATAAACATGCACATGTTTTCTAATTGAACCTAATTTATCCAAATCTTAGGTGCTAAAATGCCAAATTATAGATTGCAATGTAAGATAAGCTATGACAAATTATAGCGGAGACGAAGTAAGTTTATCATAATTACATATGTTCTTAAGTGTGTTGAATGGAGGAAGAATTTGTATTTGCACTTCTAAAACTTGGGAAAATTAGGGTTAGAAAACAAAAGAATTTGATCGAGGAAAAGTGCGTAGACAGAGGGCCCAATGGGTAAAATTGATAGTTAGATGACTCAATTGAGAAAATATATATAGATGGGGGACTAATTTAAGGCTTGCCCTGTATAAATTGTTATTATAATAGCCACTCCTTGCAAGATACGTGTGAATCAAATTAGTAGCCTAACCTGAGAAACTTGACTTGGCAAAAACAAATGAAACAGGCATTGTACATTCCAACGTACGTACGTATGTTATATGGATAAGCATGCCACTCATGCACGACTGGGGCGGAGAGAAAAAATCAAGCCACCACAGTTTCCGTTTCTTCCTTTCCTTTTCTTCATTAACAAAATATAATAAAATCTAGAACTTGGACGTGTGATCTAGCATCAAGCCATTAATCACGCTTGACATAATCAATTTTGAGAGCACATTATGAAATTTAATCCAAGGTATACATGAATCGAAACATATTAAATTATATTATTGAGAATTTTTTTTTTTTTTTATGGTGAGAGTATCTCCATACCATTTTGTGCATCAATAGTACAATTATAATTGTTAGAAAGTAATATAAAATTATTTAAAAATCTCATCTAACATTTTAAAATTTTGGAGTTGAGATGATTTTTTAATATGGTATCAAACCTTTCTAACCTAACAAATTTCAAATCCAAGAACCTTTTACTTGTAAGAGATGTATTAGAAAATAATATAAAAACATTCATAAGAACTCACTCAATAGTTTAAGTTTCTAAATTTAAATAGGTTTTTAATAAAAATTAAATGTGTACTTTTAAAAGAGCACATTTACATCGGCTTGGTACATTAAAAAAAAAAAAAAGTTAATAAATTTACCTAGGTGTAGACTCCAAGATATAAAACCATGAAATTAAGAAATGAAACAAACCTTCTTAACCATCCAATTGATCCTTTTCTTGTGTGTGTGTGTTTATTATTTTTTTTTTTCCTTTTAAGGGCAATTTAAAATGGTAAGCCGTGACTTGAACTATCCATGCATGTTTAATATTCGTCGTCATGTTTTTCAAGGTTTTGAAAATACTACTACGTATAGAAATATTCAATGGATTCGGTCTAGCAGGAGAAATATCAGATTTTTGAAATGGCAAGAGTATGCAATAATTAAAATTTGACAAAATATGGTTAGGGTTACTTGCGCCAAAAGAAACAGCTTGGCTCTCTCCCTGCCATTAAATCTATAAATACAGCCATGAATTCAAGGTATAGCAACGCCTAGCATTGAACTATAACCTCAAAATGAAGGTCTCAATGTCTGTATTTCTCTCAGTATTTTCAGCTCTTTTGTTGTCAGTATCATTGGCAGCTTCTGATACAAATCTTGACAAATTTCTACAATGCCTTCCTAATAATAGTCTTCCCTCTTACCCCATCTCCAAAGCCATCTATACCACTGCGAATTCCTCTTTCCAGTCTGTTTTGGAGACATATATCAACAACCGCAGATTTTTGACCCCAACAACACCGAAACCAGTTGCAATCGTTACGGCCCTGCATGAATCCCATGTCCAAGCAACAGTCGTTTGTGCAAAGTCTCATGGCTTGCAGATTAGAATTCGGAGCGGTGGACATGATTACGAGGGTCTTTCTTATGTATCTGAGGTCCCATTCGTCATCCTCGACATGTTCAATCTCCGATCCATCGACATAGATGTTGCAAGCGAGACAGCATGGGTTCAAGCTGGTGCAACTCTTGGTGAAATTTACTATAACATTGCAAATAAGAGTAACGTGCATGCCTTTCCAGCTGGGGTTTGCCCTACAGTTGGTGCAGGTGGTCATATTAGCGGAGGAGGGTACGGGACTTTGATGAGGAAATATGGTCTTTCTGTGGATAATATCATTGATGCCAAAGTAGTAGATGTCAATGGTAAAATCCTTGATAGGAAGACAATGGGGGAAGATCTATTTTGGGCCATCCGAGGAGGAGGTGGAGCAAGCTTCGGAGTCGTTCTTTCTTGGAAGATGCATTTGGTTCGAGTTCCAGCGAAAGTGACTGTTTTCAAGGTCGATAGGACTCTGGAGGAAGGTGCAACTGATATTTTTTATCAGTGGCAACAAGTGTCTACTAAGCTAGACAAAGATCTTTTCATCAGAGCAATGCCACAAGTCGCCAATGGAAGCCAAGAGGGTACGAAGACAATCAGAATCTCCTTCTATGCCCTCTTTCTAGGAGAAAGTGAGGCACTTCTTTCCATGATGAACAAGAGCTTCCCTAAATTGGGTTTGCAGCAAAAAGACTGTATTGAAATGAGATGGATAGAGTCCACACTTTTTTGGTTTGATTTGCCAAACGGCACATCCATCGATGTTTTACTCAATAGACCTCGCGGAGCGCAAAGCTTTTACAAGAACAAATCTGATTACGTGAACCAGATTGTTCCAAAGGAAGCATTAGAACGCATATGGAAGCTGATGATCGAGGCTGATCCAATGTGGATTCAATGGAACCCTTATGGAGGAAGAATGAGTGAGATTCCCGATACCGCAACTCCATTCCCTCACCGAGCAGGCTACCTATTCAAACTCCAGTACTCCATAAACTGGAATGAAGAAGGAACTGAGGCCACCGACCGATATATAAGGTTGATAAGAGAAATGCATGATGCAATGGCTCCATATGTCACCAAGCACCCAAGGGAGGCATTTCAAAACTATAGAGATCTTGATATTGGTAGCAACCCTAGCAATCAGACCGACTTCGAGACAGCTAAAGTGTATGGCCTGAAGTACTTCAAGGGTAACTTCCTAAGATTGGTGAAAATCAAAGGGCAGGTAGATCCAGATAATTTCTTCAAGCATCAACAAAGCATTCCACCCCGTTGGATATAGAAAAAGTCCTAAGAAAACTGGAGGATGTCAAGTAGTATATATTGTACTTTAAGTTAATAATGTGCACCTGTGCACAAATTGTTGATTTATGTATTTGTTCCAATAATAAAACTTTATAGCGCTGATTTCTTGCCATGCAAACACGGATATCAATTTCAATATAAAAGTTTAAACTATTGATTGGTGAGACTAGAGTGTCCACCAGCCGGAAAGGCTAGCACATTGCTCTTCTTGGGAATGTCATAGGAAAGTTAATCCACCAACAGTTGCCCTGGCTTGAGCCAAGCTCTCTTTTTCCCAATATCAATGTTGATTGATCGGAGATTGAACATATCAAGGATGACATATGAGACATTTGATACATAAGAAAGGCCCTCGAAATCATGGCCACCAATACAGACTGTTTCATACGATGAAAGGAAATTAACAATATTAAAAACGATGATATTATTTTGATAAAAGAAATACTATTGTTTCTGCATAACTCTTATCGTTTGTATGATATGACAAATAAAATAAGACTGAGAAAACTTGCGGTGCGGTTTTGAGAAGCACATGCAAATAATCACTGAAATAATTATTTTAGCTAAAAATTGCACTAAAAAATTGTATGTAAGCAAACCATTAACGGATGACAAGGATCTTCTAAAATTGAATTTTTGATGGGTTTTATCTGGATTTAATCTTAATATTTTTCTTTATTGATTAAGTCTCATTTTAGTTTTTATTTTGTTGTGTAAGGATCACTCTATCATACATCGTGAGTTTGTATACCTACATGTTATCTTTGTACTAGAGTACTAAGTTGCATGTTTGATAACCCACAACCCAATAACTCTTTTTTTTAAAAAATTTCTCATTTAAGATGAAAGTTAAATTATTAAAATAAAATAAACTAATTAAAAACTTCAAGGAACGTAATTAATTAAAATATATAAATTTTCATGTGTTTAGTTTTCGTTTTTCATTTTTTTATTATATAATTTCATAAATGAAAGAGTTATTGTGACTGAATTTAGTTATGTAGACATACAAATTCACGTAGTTATGGAAAAAAATATACCTTTACATAATAAAACAAATAGTAGGAAAGCACGCCTCAGCAAGATCAGATAAAGATATTGAAAGTTTGTTTTTTTTTTTTTTTTTTTTTTTAACTCACACATTCAAAGCTCCTAATAAAAATAATATATTAAGATTAGAACCCATGACTTCTTATTATAAGAGAATAAAGATAATGAAAGTCAAATAATTAAAAGTAACATCAATGGTTATAAATCAACTAACATATAAAACTAAAATTCTAGTTGTTAAGAGGATAAACTATTTTATCTATGTAGTTTTTTTGTATTATCTTAAATATTGTTAAAGTTCTTGTGTATCTGATTGTATTTTTGTAATAGAATACATATATGAAAAAGGTCAGGGAGCCTAAAGCAAATTGTGCAGAAAAATAATTCTCTTTTTTAATTAAGTTGTCCTAATTTTGCATCAAAGTCTTGATGACTAAAAGGCTACGAATTTAAATCTCAGAATTTCTACTTTTTCTTTTAAATAAGCACAAGTTAATGGTGGATATGTACAAATTTCAAATCCAAAAATTTTTTACTTAAGGAGATGTATTAGAAAGTATTATAAAAATATCTTTGAAATCTTGCCTAATTAATAATTTAAATTTTTGAATTGAGATGATTATTTGACACCACCTTGCAAAAATCTCAAAAAATATTCTTCGTGAGAAATATTTGGTGATAAGTTGCCATCAGCACAAAATAAAACTTGGCCATTTTAGGTTGCTTCTAAAAAAAATAAAAAATCTATTAATTGATATATATACACTACCAAAATTTATAACAAGTGGACTGGTAAAAATATATTTTGAACTCATCAAATTATGGAAGATGCAAGGGCCTTTGTATCCCCATTAGCCTTGCGTGTAAAAGGATGTAGACATAAAGATGGACATCAAATTCAACCAAAAAAACTTCATTATTGGATTGTGTGTCCACACGCATATATAAATACCTTATTTTTTCCAATGTGAAATATTTATCATTCAATGGACAACTAACTCCAACAATTTTTCTTTATCTTTCAATGTTGTGTCTTTGTAAACATAAATACCCTAGCTTTTCATCGAACATCGTGTACATATAAAAGCTAGCCTTCTATCTAACATAAATTCCTCGATAATGGTATCCAAACTTAATTAATCAACGTAGCATCCTCAAATTAAAAGAAGAAGTTAAGATACTTTATTGATCCAATTCAATTATAGTTTATTGCTGAGTAAGATGTACATTCAACCCATTGTGAATTTATTTTCGAACTGAAAGATTTCTTTGTTTTTTGTTTTTGGTTTTTCAAACCACTCATTCCAAACTAGTTGGAATACTTGCTCATTCTTGAAAAAGTTAAAAGCTTGAAATTAGAGAAAAATTACAATTTCAATGCCTAATCTTTTTTTTTTTTTTTTAAGTGTCTAACATGTTATTTTACCTACTTGAGTGATTATCTCTTTTTTTTTTTCTTTTTTTGTATTTGAGTGTATTTTGTCACCTGAGACTATAAAATACCAACATGATCGATGTCAACTAGCATGTGGTTGTTTTGTAGTACTAATACGTAGCAAAAAGTGTGACTCTAAATTATTGAAGAAAAAAATAATATTCATGAAGAAATAAGTGGCAGAAATTAAAAAAAGGAAATAGTAATGATTTTTTGAAAAATGATAATATTGCGTCAGTTCAACATTTGAATAGGTTCTCAAAAAAATTTTGTTTTGAAGATATTTTTCATCACTCATTAGTAATTATTTTTTCGAAAATGATGACATTATATTGGCTTAATATCTGAATAGGTTCTCAAAATTTCCTTGTTTTGAAAATATTTTTGATCACTCATCTAGTGAAAAACTAAAAAATGATCATTTCCTCCTTACAAGGTTTCATGGCATTCTCAAACTTTTCTTGGTTAACATAAAATCCACCAACTTTTCGATCCATTATTATGTACTCAATTTCAAATAGTCTATGAAGGCATATTTAGTGAGTACAAAACCAAGTTCTCAACAATTTTGAATCGGTCCTATTTTTTATTACATGTCAAAACAAAAAAATCACATATTAGTTAATACTCACTGCATCAATATTTAATAGTTTCAAGCAATGGAATACACTCAAATAGATAAAAATAAAAAATTAGACACTTAAAAAATAAAAATAAAAAAATGAGGATTAAAGTTGTAGTTTTTGCTAATTTTGAATGAGACTTATTTTTTATGGCATGTCAGTATAGATCAATTGACATCAGTCACCTCAATGTTTAACAATCTTATATGATGGAATACACTCAAATAAAAAACAAATCAAAAATTGATCAATCAAA